TATATATATTGTGTATATATACGTACATGTATATATCCTTAACTCTTAGTACATGCAAAAGGGGATAAAAAGAAAAACCCTCACTGCTGCTGCTGCTGCTGCTGCTGCTGTTGCTGCTGCTGCTGCTGATTGAAACACGACAGACAAAAGCAAAGAAAACACCACACTTTGCATGCAGCCCCAAAAAGTTTATTACTGCAAGCATGCATGCATGCATGCATGCATGCACAACCACGTAAACCCTAGACTCAGTGTCTGCCCACTCCTCCTGCATATATATATAAGTATATAAATATAAATAAATAAATAAATAAAATAAATAAATAAATATGTATTTATTTATACTAATTATATGCATGCAAGTGTTGCATGCATGCAGAGACATTGAGAAAAGGAAAGAAGAAAAAAGGTTTTTTTTTTTTTTTTATATATATACGCGCAGCAACTCCATTAGGGTTTAGGGTTTAGGGTTTAGGGTTTAGAGTTCGTCATGTTCTAAGGGTTCATCTTGTTCATTATCTTCTTCTTCCTCATCATCATCATCATCATCAATATCTTCTTGCTGCTGCTGCTGCTGCTGTTTCTGCTGCTGTTTCTGCTGCTGCTGCTGTTGTTGTTTCTGCTGCTGTTTGTGCTGTTGCTGCTGTTGCTGCTGTTTCTGTCCTCCAGCAGCACCAGTACCACCGCTAGAAGCAGCAGAAGCAGCAGCAGCAGCAGCAGCAGCAGCAGGCTTATTAGGGTTTAGGGTTTCTGCAGCTTTTTTCTTTAATTCCCTGGCTAAATTAAACACTTCTTCTGCCTCTGTCTCTAATGCATCAGATAGTGCTTGTCTTTCTCCTTTTTGCTGCACTCTCTCGCTGCTTCCTCCTGCTGCTGCTGCTGCTGCTGCTGCTGCTGCTGCACCTTCATCACGCCATAATAATTCAGATAATGGTACAATCACATTCTCAAATAAACTCGAATATAAACCACGCAAAGATATTAATGCAGACCTGCAACACAAACCCTAAACCCTAAACCCTAAACCCTAAACCCTAAACCCTAAACCCTAAACCCTAATTATTATCCACAATACATACATTGTCTTTAACAACCTAAAACTCAAATATAATATCACTATCTCATACAGACACAAACCCTAAACCCTAAACCCTAATAAACCCTAATCCCCAAACCCTAAACCCTAAACCCTAAACCCTACTCTAAGTCCCAGCCATAGACGAGGGCAGGGAGAGCAAACATCGTGAAGGCAGCGCGAGGCACATGCGCGGTTATGTGCTCCAAGTATATAGCTCCTCGAGCATCCTGATACACAAACCCTAAACCCTAAACCCTAAACCCTAAACCCTAGAGACATAATGAGGCAGGCATCGCCATTGTCCTCATGTGTCCACTGTTTATATGTGTTAATAACCCTAAACCCTAAACCCTAAACCCTAAACCCTAGCTATAGCCCTTGAGACACCAGAATGCTTGTACACCCGACGACCGTAAACCCTAAACCCTAAACCCTAAACCCTAAACCCTTACAGGTGCTCCAACGAGAACCTTCCTTCCGGGTTTGAGTCTCATAGAGGTTGCAAGAACAGGAGAAGAGGCCGTCAAGTGTTGCTGCTGCTGCTGCTGTTGCTGCTGCTGCTGCTGCTGCTGCTGCGGCAGTCTTGGCAGCAGCTGCAGAGGCCTTAGAGGTGCTTCTCTTGCTACTGTTAGAGAACCCTACAGAAAAAGAAAAAGAAAAAAAAAAAGGAGAGCAGCAAATTTACCGGCAGCAGCAGCAGCAGCAACAGCAGCAACAGCAGCAGCAGCAGCAACAGCAGCAGGCAGAAAGTGCAGCAGGAACAGAAGTAGCAGCAGCAGCAACTACAGCAGCAACAAAAACTGCACAACACCATAAACTGCAGCAGCAGCAGCACCACCACCACCAGCAGCACCACCAGCAGCAACAGCAACAGCAGCAGCAGCAGCAGCAGCAGGAGAGTACCTCAATAGGGAAGATATGCCTATTCTGCCCTCCTGTATTTATAACAAAGTTTGCCCCTGGAGGCAAAACCCTCAGAAGAAGAACCTCATCTGCATCTCCTATTAATATTTGTGTCCGTACAGCAGACCCTAAACCCTCGCAGCAGCAACAGCAGCAGCAATAGCAGCAATATTAATCATTTATATTGTTATTTAATTACTAGGGTTTAGGGTTTACGGCTTAGATACAGAAAAAACCAGAAAAAATGAATATTTATATGTATATATATGCACCAACTAGGGTTTAGGGTTTAGGGTTTAGGGTTTAGAGGGAAAAAGGAATTAATAAACAAAATAGATTCACAAACAAGGATGCACACATAACACAAACCCTAAACCCTAAACCCTAAACCCTCTTCGTAGTGCCCATAACCCTAATAAACCCTAATATACCCTAATAAACCCTAGACCCTCACCCTAAACCCTAAACCCTCATCCCAAACCCTAAACCCTAAACCCTAAACCCTAAACCCTAAACCCTAAAGCCTCACCGTAATGCTCATAAGAAAGGAAGAAAGGAGAATAGACCCAATAACCACCAACAAAGTTTGCCTCTAAAGATGCACCAAGTAAATCAAGATGTTCTTCTATTGTTAATTGATCGTCCTGTATAAATAACACTAAACCCTAAACCCTAAACCCTAAACCCTAATTAACATTAATAAACAATAATAAACCCTAGGGAGAGGAGGAACACGAGAAAAAGAGGATATAATAAACCCTACTACATTCCCTATTATTATTATTATTTATATTATCCTTTATATACTATTAAAGTGTATATAAACCCTAAACCCTAAACCCTAAACCATAAACCCTAAACCCTAGATATATACATACCTCTGTACCAATAATACCATCAGGTCCTGCTCTCTTAGCATTAGCAAAAGCAACAACATCTTCTACACAAGGTAATGCTCCTGTATATACACACAAACCCTAAACCGTAAACCCTAAACCCTAAACCCTAAACCCTAAACCCTAAACCCTGATTCCTGAAGTGTCTGGATATGGATATAAAAGTTAACACAACTAAATGCAACACTTAGACATCCACCAGACAACAGCAGCAGCAGCAGCAGCAAATACAGGAGCAGCAGCTGCTGCTGGTGCATTTGCTGCTGCTGCTGCTGCTGCTGCTGCTGTCGCACTTCCTCCTCCCTCCCCAACAACAACAACTTTTCATCCCCCGTCGCTGGTGCAACCGTTTTTTCTGCTGCTGCTGCTCCCTTTCCTGCTGTTGCTGCTGCTGCTGTTGCTGCTGTTGCTGCTGTTGCTGCTGTTGTTATATTCCTTTTTCTTACCTCTAGCTACATATGCAGGAGGATTACCCTCTAATGGTAAGAAATAAGGATTATTTTTTTTTTGTTTTTCTTCCTTTAATAAACAATTAAATGCTTTTGTATCATGGACCTCAAATTGGGATAAACAGAAGAAAAAAACAAATATAACTACACCTATTATAGATAAATCCCTCCACATTTTTATACTTTTTCTTTAATAAATATTTATTTATTTATAATTTTCCTATATTTATCTACTTTTTTTCTTTTTTTTACTCTTTTTTCCCTCTTTTTTGATCATTTTAACCCCTCAGGGGGCCCCTTTCTTATTCGCCAACTTTTGGGGCTTTTTTCTTCTTTTTTTTTAGGGTGTCTATTGGGGTGTCTGATGATCTTTTCTTTGTTTATTTCCTTTTATTTCTCCTTTATTTATTTATTTATTTATTTTTTATTGTTTTTATTCTTTTTTTGTGCATTTTAATCATTATTTCTATACCCTTTATACCTAATACCCTATTAATATGAATTATAATCTTATGCTTACCTTATCTACCTCTTGTTTCTTGTTATTATAACACATAAAAAGCACAGAAAAAAGACATTTTTTTTGTTTATTTAATTAATTATAATTAAATTAATTAAATTATTTATTTTTTAATCATAAATTTATCCATTTATCCAGCTAATTAGTCGATAATACCCCCTACTGCTCATACAATTGCTGAGGTGTATAGGCAGCTCGGCTCGGCTCGGCTCTGCACGTACACCCGAGACAGATCTTTCTTGTTACTTTTTTTTTTTTTTATTTCTTTATTTATTTATTTAATTATTTATTTTATTTAGTTTTATTTATTATTTTAGTTATTTTATTTATTTATTTTATCTTATCTCCTTTGTTGCTGTATACGTATACCCCTCCTCCATTTATTTACTATGTAGGCAGTAACTATAAGAAAACTAGTACTAATATGTATCTTTTTATGTATATAAGTAAAACTATTTATTTATAAATATAAATAATAATAACTATAAATAAACAAAGAAGCAGAAAGTACCTCCATCTATATTTACTTATAACTATTTATTTATTTATTTATTACCCTAATTACTACTCCTAATAAATAAGAAAGGTATTTAGAGGATTGTCCTTTTGTTGCATGCTTAGTCATCAACAAAGTAAACTTTATTAATTAATTTAATTAATTAATTAATTAATTAGTTAAATATAATTAATTAATTTAATTAAATTAATTAATTAAATTATTTTTTATCGATATACAAGTTTACTTTGCTGCTTTGTGCATGCATGCATGCATGCATGCATGCATGGCATGCAATTCATTGCATGCATGCAAGCATGCATAATATATGATACTGCATGCAATAAATAGATAAATAAATAGATAAATAAATAAATAAATAATACATTTATTTATTTATTTATTTATTTATTTATTTATATATATTTATTTATTTAGCCACTAAGTACACATACACCTCCTGCCTCCTTAATTTTTTTTTCTGCTAATTTAGAGAAAAAACGAGCACGAACTATTAATGGTAATTTTGGTAATTGACCTTTTCCTAGCACCTATACAAAAAAAAAAAAAAAAAAAAAAAAAAAA